ATGACAAGTCTAATCACGTGGGGAATCGAGAACAATGGGGTCAATCCATTCATTTATTCCGAGTAGGTCTTAAGACCACAATTATCAAATAACAGCAACACAAATAATGTAAATGATGCGACTTTAAGATGAAGAACCAATATAAACCAATAATAAAAAGGGTTCAAGGACTCCCCGTAGTTTGGTGATGACTATCTATATGCCGATTGATCTGAATTGCTGACTTATGAGCCCCAACTATGCTTTTTTTATTCTCTTCGTGTCCAATGGTTTTAGCCCATATTGACTGTAACTTGTGCTGGTTCTGGTGTGAACGTAAAACTGAGCATGGTGATTGTGGTTTTTAGATTATTGAGATGGACGAGAAAATATATGAGTGCGGTAACTGTGGTGGAAGTGTATGATCTTGGGTTGGTGGTGGTGGCATGTGGCCCTGAAGCGATAGTGCGTTGGATGCCTGAGTACAATAGATAATGAAGTGGTGGCGTGGTGGTGATTAGAGGCGGCAGCGGTAAGAGAATGGTTGTGATAGAGGAATCGGATGAAACTGTGGGAATATTTAATATTAATAGGTTGGTTATAGTTGAGCTTGGTCAGATATTTGGGACTGGGCCAGCTGGGGTTAGTGTTTATGGAGTAGGCCTGCGTCGTAGAGAGTAGGCTGGGTTAATTGAGCTAAACGAAATTGGGCCGTGTGTTAGTAGGATTAAATGTTAGGGTTGGAATTTGTGAAACAACACTACAATTGTATAGAAGAAATAGCAGCAAACGAGAATTTTTTTTATTTATTTATTTTTTTTTTGGTGTGTAAAACTGAAATTACAGAAAAAACCTAAACTGAAATTTCTAAGTGTGAACTGTAATTTTTATTTTTTTTAATACTAAAACTGAATTTTCCGATTGTGAATAGTAACGCGTGCCTTTTTTTTTTTTGCAACTATGAAGAAAACTGAAACAAAAAAATGAGATCTGCTACTCATACGCTAAATTTTTTTATTCGTGCTGTTCCGACAAATTTTTGGGAAGGAAATAAGAAGAAATTTTTCGATTGGAAATGAGAGATTACCAAATTTAGGTTCTAATACCAAATTTGATGCAGCACCAATAGAAGTATTAAATGCAGAATAAGAAGACCAAGATGAATAATCAATAGAAGAAGGAGAATAATAATGGGGGAAGAGAGAAAGCTTTCGTCACAAGCCACCAATAATTTTATTCAATCGTCAACTAATGAAACTACATGGCAAAGTAAGTTTAAATAATAAAAACTAAAACCCTAACTAGACTAAGCTTGGACCGACATGAGCCCAATAAGAATCCAAAACAAAATAAAGTCCACAAAATGAAATAAGGTTTAACAAGGAATAAATAAAAAAAGACCGGATGTCCTCATCACGAAGCAAACATGGTTATAGACAAGAAATAGAAATAAAATCTGTCTCTTCCCAACCATATATCACCTCGTAATGATCTTTCTGATACTCATTCAGAAAGTTAGAAGCTATTATAGGCCAGGAAGCTCCAAACTTTTCCTGAAACATGAGCAGCCACATAAACAATGACTCAAAATTTCTATACGAGAGAGTGAAATGAGGAAAATCAAAATGCAGAACAAAAAGAGTAAGCAAAAACTCATTACCTCTAAAAACCTCTGCTTAATGTATGGTCGACTCGAACGATCGAAGTCCCATATTCCATCTCTTTCAAGTTCCTCCTACAGTAACAATTAGTTTATTATATCTGAAGTGAGTATGAGTGCATTTTGGGCTAAACATATAGCCTCGACAAGTAAAGTAAAAAAACAAAAGATGAGTACTCGAAGGAGAAAGACAATGACATACCTGGCTTAGAGAAATAGATGGTCGAAATTTTCCACAAAGACCAGTCATTGCATGATCTGGGAGCTCCCAGATTCTAAAGAAACCCAATATATGATCAATTCTGTAAGCCGTGAAGTACTTTGCCATCTGTTAATCATACCAGAATGCAAGTTATTTTAGAATTACACAATTGTCTAAAGATTTGGAAACTTTTGAAACAGAACGAGAAAAAGACAGCACCAAGTTACTGATCAACCTGTGTTAAACGAGCATGCCACCAAGCATTATTTTCTTTGGACATTTCTTCCCAATTGTAAGTAGGGAATCCCCAATTTTGTCCTTTTTTATCAAAATAGTCTGGAGGTGCCCCAGTAGAGGTGATCATGCGAAACAGATTTGGATAGACCCAAGTATCCACATTATTTCGGTCAAGTCCAATGGGCAGATCCCCCTTCAGTACTACTCCTTTCTTTCTAGCATATTCATAAGCTTCAGATAACTGTCATTATCAACATGATTACCAAGATTTCATATGTCATGAGTCATGACATATGAGTAAACACAACACACAAGAATTTTTACTTACTTGCATATGCAAATGGTACTGGATATAGTAATGAAAGCAAATTATATCATAGTGCAAGATATCTTTTGAGACAAGCTTCTCAAGCTGAAAGTGTGGAAAGAGAACTGTTAGCACCTAATACGTTGGTGTTAAAAATGTGGACTTTCAAATTGAAGTTCCTGATCCGTTAGAATTTTACCTGAGAAATATGAGTACCTCTGGGCTGGGAAATAGAAGAATAAGAGAGAAAAGACCAAGAAATTAAAAAATTCAGATACCTTATCTTGTGAGAAAAGAGAAAATCGACCCCACTGGCTGTGATCTGATGTTTCAAAGAAGTCCCGTAAAAAACAGAAGGCCGCATAGGGCCTCAACCAATCCTGACAATAAAAAGAGGTACTGCGAAATAAATATGCTTAAGAAATTAAGAACTACATGGAATAAAACTTATTGACTAGTAAGATCTTCTCTTTCTCACAGATACAGATTGTATTTAAAACTTCAACTAAACAAAATTATAAATTCTGAAATCGCCATATCAATACTTGTGCAAAAATATTATAACCTGATTCTCTGAATAAAAGTTCTTGAAGGAAGTTGAACTTTTGCTTCCTTCTCGTGAGAATAAATTTTCTTGGCAATGGAAAGTTTTGCCGTCATGGTGGCCTCATAATCCACATCCTGCAAGGATAAAGGAAAAATGTAATGGAGGTTGGGATCAAAATAAGTTTTCCTACTTGTTTTCCATTCCTTGAGACAATTTCACAGAATTTCAAATACGTGGCCATTGAAAAAATAAAATAAAATAAGAGAACATGAAGGGGACTTGGGAACTCATGCCAAAGCTCACATCTCATATCTAAAACCAAGGTTCCAAAATTAAAATTTTGGTAAAGAGGGCAATTTATAAGGTGAGGTATCACTGACCAACCATTGCAAGATAAGCTGGCAAACAACCTCAATTAGACATCATGAACATGTACCTAGCAACTCTAAGTTGACCCTTGGCTCAAACACTAGTATCGTAGTGGTTGGTCTGTGATACCACATCACCACGATGACATTGCATCAACAATATAATCAAAACATTCTACAATCTTAAATGCGGAAAACCCAAATATTCAACGATTTAACATCTGGTTTATGGATTAAATGTATTGAGTTCCAAGTCTATTACAGAGAACATAATTATAGTTAAAAAACCAGAATGTATAATCCAAGCACTGATTAAAAAAATGTACCAGAAAGTATATAAGGAAAAACACGTACATTTTTATCAGAAACTCTCCTTTGTCGGGCCTAATTGTGTGAATTAAGACAAACGGCGTATGCACCTATCTAGTGCTTCTTCAAGTATTTAAGTCACGGTTGTATGGAAATGGAAGAAAATGGATGACAAAGATGTTATGATGGTTATGTTGGTGACGCTTCATTGACTTTAGTTTAACAGTGTAAACCAAATTGATTGAAAGGCAATGAATACCTTTCCATCCAGCTATTCTCTGGCATATTGTATCTCTTGCAGATGAAGAACATAATCATTAAGAGAAACAAAATGTAATCCATTGTACGATTGACAAAAATTTGAGTTAGCAACTTAGCGTGGCCAGACCAACGATATTTGATATTTTAACTATATCTAGTAGAAAGGAAATCAAACCTTGATATCATCAGTGATATTTCCAGAGAGTGTCTGGACTCTTAGGTATAATGGATGCAATGCAAATACTGAAAGCGAGCTACATGGCATGGGCCAAAGGAAATTAGCAAACTTTATCAGTCTAATAAAATTCAGATGACAATAATTACCTGAAAGAATTTACAGAACAAAATGCATTGAGAAGTCAATAGGGTCAGAGCAAATGTTCGTCAGGCCAAATTTCCTTTTCAGGAATAATAATAATATAATGTGAACGTGGCATCATGAACATATTTAAGAATAGACAATACCTCAGGACATAAATGGTAAAATCAGATGTGAGAAATGAAAAACAATATGCAACTTGTATCCATACACCCTTTAGTACCCGTCATGGCTAAAATTAAATAGAGAATTGAAAAGAGAAACTACAATAAGCCAAGCAAATATTTTTATGTTTTAACTTTGCATCCTCAAACCTAACTGTTTACCTGTACGGATATGAATCCCACCACATTCCGTGAACTGATGTATCATTTATTGGCAAGAGCTGAACAAAATGGAAGCCAGAATGCACTGCCCAGTCTACTAGTAGCTTCAAATCAAGAAACTTCCCAACTCCTAGATCAGCGTCTGATCTGATAGAGAACATAGGGATTGCTACACCAGCACCTCTCCATGGCATTTCATGACGGCAAATTGATATATTGGGCTACCTTTTGGATCAAACTTCAAATCAAGAATAAATTATTTAGAACTCGAATTCCTAACAATGCCTTACTTGCATCAAGCCGTCTGAAAGGACAATACACTTTGGTTGACTAGTTGTGAAGTCAACAAAAAGCTCCTGATTTGGACCCATTTCCATAGAAAACTTTTCTGTGTTTCAGTATTTAACATACCGGTATGTAAATAGTTGTTAAGGTGCCATTTCACCCAGATACTCACAGATACAGAGAGAACGAATAATCAAGTATCAAGCAACAACTAGCACTATTCCTAAAACCATGCACCAGAAAGGATATTTTAGAGGGAAGTCTTCCTTAGGATATTTTAGAGGGAAGTCTTCCTTCCGCATCGCACATTCTGCTTGCCAAATAGATTCACCAATATAATTGAGTTTTAGTCTATCCTGAACCTTCCATTGCCCCAGCTTCAAAGGACTACAAATAAGACAAATCTGCATAATTCGTAAAAGGTGACATGATCCAATTGAACTTAAAGAGCAACAAACATTGAATGTACAACTAAAGGTCAACAAGATCTTACTGATGTTTTTTCTTCAATATTTGGGCAGCAAATTCGGAACTGTTCAATGACTGAATCTGTTTATCACGTGTCTACAAAGTAAATGCCTCCAAATGTCTTGAAATATGCTCTCACTTCTAATACGACAATATCTGAGAGATGGATATAATTTGACATTAAAAGAATAAAGTTACCTTCCTGATTCAATTGATTTCGAATTTTGTGCAGGGGTTTCTCCACTTCTAAAATCCAACTACTACGGAAGATTGCATTTTTAAAGGCACTTCTGAAAGGGAGATCATCAGAACCAGTCTGCATGAGTACAACATAAACTCATTCACCAGCTTATTATGGATAAACAAGATAACAGCCAACAAGAGATAAATTTAAGCATCAAGGGTTAATTGTCATTGCAAATCATCATTCCCCATGAGTTTTGAATCAAAAAAGAATTTTATCAATATGGTAAAAGATTCAAAAATGCAGGAAATACATGCTCTAAATAACATCTGATTGCAAGAGGATGAACATATCATTTCTGTGGTCCATTCTGCCACGTTATTTGTGAGCTATTAGCTCGGACCACTTTAACTATTTTTTTTTTCCCACAGTGTGTGGAGGGGGTTAAATTTTTATAACTCAGGTCTTACCTTAAGCAATAAATGTGGAGACTAAACAGGGGAAAAGCATTGAATAATTATTCCTTTCTATCTATGCTTACTACCTTTTTTCCTTTCTGAACAAGGTTTTCCTACTAATAAAAACAATGGTGTTTATCAATAGTCAGATCAAATTGCTGGCAACAAGGTGATCAACATAATGACATAATCTAAATGGATTGTGTTAACTTAAGAATTTGAGTATGAATTTAATTGTCATTAGCTGCAAGCCTGCAACTGAAGGGCATAGTGGTAGAATGAAAAGCAAAATAGCTACCACAGAATGTTGTCCCTACTTCCTGTTGAAGGGAAAATGAAATAGAATTTAAAGCCTTGGTACTTCTAAAATTATTCAGGCCAAAATTAACTTTTTCTATCTGATCTTTTTGACAAACAATTAATTGACAAGACTCTTATAGAGCAGTAACCACATTAAATACTCCAAAATTTACTCTTTATAGTTTCAAGAATCCTACCATGAAAAAAAAAAAATCATTCTCTGACTCGAGCATATTCAAGAATAAAGTATCCTTATGTTAAAGTTAATATTCTGTTTTCAATAGTATCTCCACAATCAGAAACAAAAAGAACTCCTGTGCGGTAATTAAAGGAATCACAAAACAAAACAAAACACAATACACACGCACGCACGCACGCACGCACACACAAAGACATATAGAGGTAAGCAAAAAGAAGCACCTGCCAAAGGTCGTGAAGTTCCACAGACTCTCCATCCTGAACACCAATAGGTAATATCAGTTTTCTCTTCCTTCCACCCTCCCATCTTAGAATATTCCTGTCATCATCCACCACATAATAACTGTACTCACATCCAAATCCATTCGGAACAGGCAGACTCCCAGACCAAATGAGTTCATCCCCTCGATGAACAGGCTTCAAAAGAAGGCCTTTCTGCACATTCCATGACCCAAGCACCGGTTCTGAACCACAGACCAGAAGGTGCCGCCCCCAGTGGGTATAATAAGGTAATTTAAAGCTCACAGTAACTGAATTCGAAGTCTTGCTCCCTCGAATTAACCCCGCATTCACCATTTTTCACCAAGAACTGAACTGAACAAGAATGAGGTTTCCTAAAATCTACCAAAACACATTTGTTTATGAGTATACCTATGCATTAACAAATGAGAACAAATTTGGAATTCCCAGATTCCCAGTATTTAAGCATAACATGATGTAAAACCCCAAAGCTGTATTTTTATAGGTAACAGAATTATAAACAAAATCTTACTTGTAAAAACATAAAATAAACAACACGTGAAAGTCAACTTGGCCGAAATGAGTACGTATTTTTCCCCCACGCCCCGGGAGGGTGGGGAGGGCTGGATCTTATGCGAATGAATAGAATCTTGGCCCATAAATTCACTGCCCTGAATTACAAAGTAATAATGTTGGGGGATACACCAATTATGTGCATATTATATTCATAAAAAATATATCGTTTATATTCACGAAATCGAAACAATGTTTCTACTTACCGAAATGGAGTTTGAGAAACTAACCAATGATTATCAAATCTGACAATTTCCATTCTTGAATTAAAATATGTGATTCTTCATATTGAACCTTGCATAAATCATATAAATAGAATTAATCATTTTCTAAAATCAAGTAGAAATCAAATCAGAAAAAAAAAATTAGAAGTAAGTGATGCAATTGGCCGAGGCGAGTATAACTCTTTCCTTAATATGAATTTGCCCCACATCGGTGCTAACGATTTTTCGACAATCATCTCCCAAGATACAACGATCACGTCAAGCCATAGGAGCACTCCAAATGATTTCGACCAGCGAACTCGAACAAAATTCCCTCTCTACTAAGGAAATGCATGAAAATACTATGGAATTAGAAAGTAGAGAATTGCAAGAGGAGAATGAATGCTCAATGCAATTGGTGTACACAAAATCAAATAGGGTTCTATTTATAAATGTAGAAAGGCTGCAAATGAAGTAGTGTGGGCGAAAACATGCATCCTTTCAAAAAAGTTGCAACACTTGGCCAAAGTCTGTATTCTTTCGAAAAGTTACAACACTTCATTTCTTCCATATTTGGTCCGCAATTTCTCATTCATCCAAAATTGATTTCGAGATTCCAAATATACCACGACGATATACTCGACGAGTAGAATAAGTTGGTCTATTTACTTTTATAATTTGACCATCGGATCAAGTCCAAATATTTGATCAAAATTGACACGTAGTTACACCTTTTCATTTTCCAATTTTACACACCTTTTCATTTTCAAATTTTTGATTAATTATTTGAACTAATTCCTATAATCCCCCACATGAATGGAAATTGGGTACGTATATGCAAATACAATGATATGATGCAATGTAGGGAGGGTGCGAAAAAACACTGCATCAGGGAAAGTAGCTTCTGGCCTTGAACCTCCCTTAGTGAAATACCATCGAAATTACTTGGCTAATTAGTGAACGTGATGTCTTGAACCCTTCAACCTTTAGTGTAAGCCAAGACAACGATACTCACACAGATGTCTTTCTAAACCGTTCATGGTTCTCATGCCTTGGTTCATTTTGGCCCTGAACCCTTCTTGGTTCTGTAAGTGTTTAGAGAATTCAAGCCTTGAATAATTCTCATTGAAGCGGCCCCACTTCACACTTACATAGGTAACCTCCTATTAAGAGTATTCTGCCCTACTTTACTTGACTTATTCAAGACATAGGGATCATTAAAAGATTATCTTAACCTCTTACAACTCTGTAAAAAGCACTTTAATATCATAGGAATGAGTTAGGAAATTACGTTCCTAAGTACTTCGTGGAATCCTCATAACTTAGTTGTTCCTTTGAACCAAGATCTTGGGATCTCTAGTCAACAAGGTAGGGTTACCATTACAGGGACTCTAACGTAGTAGGCTTGAATTCCATTCCCTTCGATATGCAGTCTTCTTAATCTCTCTTAGTAAATCTCTTTTAAAGGTACCATGAGTTAGCACCATTGAGATCAACTACTTAATGGTATTATGTCTATGACTTATACGCCTAGATCTACCATTACATGTGACTTAGTATCTTATCAAATATAGCTAGCCAACGATCGATTTATTTGATAGATGCAAATTGTCGCCACCAAGAAATCTTCTCACGAAGTTATATGCCTCATTAGCTTTATCAATTTCAAAACACGGTTGGAGGATTTCTATCAAACACTACACTAGTCAATCACTTTTACTAGTGGATTTCAGAATCATGGGTATTCAATATCATCATTGAAACATTACCATACATTTGAACTTTATAAATATTCTTCATATATTTCAATTGTTCTTGCATGTCTAAACAAACGCCATAATCAACTTTACAACCCATTTCATCCACTTTAGACTTAGTATATATCATCCTTATAATTAGTATAGGGTTTTCTATCTTTCTACCTTCATAGATATCGTTATGTGATTATAAGATAGAAGCAAACATAACTATTAAACCGAGTTACCCCCACAATTCCTCAATTAGGAATACATATGCAATCTAGTAACGTTATATCCATAAGTTTTAAACTTTTCATTCAAGTTCACGAGCATTTATGATAACCCTCACATCTTTGGGTTACAATTGAACTTAGGATTCAGCAATTTTTTCATAGTTCTATTCATTTATCTCTTAGATAATATCCGTATCAAGTGCTTCATAAAAGTCTAAGTACTTTCAAAATAATAGTCATTGACTCACAATTTATTTCTATTAAAGTTGCATATAACGTACTTCAATCCAATTATTTTAATTTGATCATTCAAATTAAATCAAGGCCATCATATAGACCTGCAATGCTTTCAAACATATACCAACTTAATTGGTTTCATGATTGAAGTCAAATTCAACAATAAAGAGGGCTAAATATTGCAACTTCTTCAAACATATGCATCTTATCACATTTGTGACATTTCACATGATAGTTTCATTTCAACCATCGGTTGAAAAGTTGTGTTATCAAAAGACACAATCCTATAAAAGGACACACCTCTTGAATTAATCTCTATAAAGAGACAAACCCATTGGAAATTAATCATACCAAAAGTCATGATTCTCCATATGAAAAGACACATCTTTCCATGCAAAATTTTCTACAATTTCAAATAATTATGTGGTTTAATTCTCATTTCTAAATAATGAGATCCACTTAAATCATCTCACTTAATTTTATAAAATTAATTGAGGCTATCACCATAGTCAAAGTTAGTATAATTTCAATAAGATATGAAATTTTAACCAACTAATTTACCATGTCATTATCATATTCCAATCAAAGGAATCGTCATGAAAGTTCGTATACTTTCATCAAATAATTGGCATCCTTATATGTCCAATGGTTAGGAATAATTTCCTTATTTCCATCCATTCATTATTGGACTCGAGTTGTTTTTAACGATATCCAATTCATCATGAACAAAGTGTAGGAATAACAACATATATTCCAAATATTTATACATTCATTTGTATAAATTTATTCTATAAAATGTCTCATGGAAGAGGTCCACGCATTTTCATATTTTGTTGCCATCTAGTAAACTGTTTTTAGAACCTCATTCACTTGTTCAAAAATAAACCATCTTGCAAAGAAACGTACTGGTTCAGCAGCCATGCATTAACAATTGCAATCATATATCATATTCTAAATGAATGGATGGCATATAATAGTTGGCTACTTTTAATTGAGGCAGTTACAACATGATTGAATTCACAATTGCAAACTGACTTTACACATTATTTTACAAATATATATTAACAGACACTTGCAAAAAGTCAGTAATTAATTACTAATTAAATTGAAGCAATAGGTTGTATTAGAAGATGGGCTTCAACCAGAGCCAAAATGGGAGCTCAAAGAAAACAACTTATAGTATGAAATGATGACAAACATTACAATCAGACATTTTTTAATAAATTGATCTTTTCAAAATTCAAAAGACACGTTCACATTAATGAATCCATAATTTCATGTTTGAAACATTCACGTTAATAAATCTATCTCAAACATCTACTGAAAAGCAGTTATATTCAATATCATGGAATATTGTACTCAAAAGTTTAGCCATGTGAGAGTATATATAACTTACTGTAAAATTGTATTACGTAATATAGAACTTCAAATTCTAAAAGAATTAGAATATAAAACGCACCAAAAACTTTATCTTAAGATTGGTGGGGAATACACCGATTATGTGCATATTATATTCACAAAAAATATATCGTTTATGTTCACGAAATCGAAACAATGTTTCGACTTACCGAAATGGAGTTTGAGAAACTAACCAATGATTATCGAATCTAACCATTTCCATTATTGAATTAAAACATGTGATTCTTCATATCGAACATTGCCTAAACCATATAAATAAAATTTATCATTTTCTAAAATCAAGTAGAAATTAAATCAGAAAAAAATTAGATGTAAGTGATGTGATTGGTCGAGACGAGTATAACTATTTCCTTAAGATGAATTTGCCCCGCATCGGTGCTAACGATTTTCCAACAATCATCTTCCAAGATACAATGACCACATCAAGCCATAGGAGCACTCCAAATGACTTCGACCAACGACTAGAACGGAATTCCCTCTCTACCAAGGAAATGTATGAAAATGCTATGGAATTAGAAAATAGAGAATTGTAAGAGGAGAATGAATACTCAATGCAATTGGTGTACACAAAATCATGTCCATAGAGTTCTATTTATAGATGTAAAAAGAGTGCAAATGAAGTAGTGTGGACCAAAACATGCATCCTTTCAAAAAAGTTGCAACACTTAGCAAAAGTCTGCATCCTTGCGAAAAGTTGCAACACTTCATTTCTTCCAAATTTGATCCGCAATTTCTCATTCATCCAGAATTGGTTTCGAGATTCCAAATATGCCACGACGATCTACTCGACGAGTAGAATAAGTTGGTTTATTTACTTTTGTAATTTGACCATCGGATCAGGTTCGAATATTTGGTCGAAATTAACACGTAGTCATACCTTTTCATTTTCCACTTTTACCCACCTTTTCATTTTCCAATTTTACCCACCTTTTCATTTTCAAATTTTTGGTTAATTATTTAAACCAATTCTTGCACTCAAAATTTTGACTTTAAGCACATAATTGGGAATAAAGATGACACAAAAAGATTGGTCATGGATACAGTTCAGATTGAATTGCAGTGCTAAGTCACCTAAAGTTCTAAGCAATGAGATACATTGATTCTCATCACAAGAACCCAACAAGATTTGAGTTAAATTCTGAA